CGGGGGAGGTAAACAAATTTACAAATTTTAGTATGTTAGCGAGTATTTCTGACCAAGAGTTTTTTTGTTTGGTTCGGTCTTTGATGTTCTTTGCCTCATTGCCTGTTGTAATAAATTACAGTAGTTCGCAAAATTTAGAGTGGAAGCCACATCAGCCTTAGCTGGTTTTCATGCAGGTCCTCTATCCTGGTCCAATTGGAATTTGGAGATGTTGGTTTTGTGGAGGGAGGAAAAACGGAGAACCGGGAGAAAAGCCCTCGGAACAAGAAGGGGACCAACAAGAAACTCAACCCACATATGGCACCCGGGCCAGAATCGAACACGGAACAGATTGGTAGGAGGTGAGTGCTTTCATCACTGTGCCATCCCTGCTTCACTGCAATACGGAAAATAGGGATGCATTTTGGTTCAGGACTACGCTAAAGGAGATCTGGAAGAAAGAGTGTATGGCCTCAAATCAAGAAGGACCCTTAAATCAGTTGCTTTCAGTTCCCTCAGTTAAGAAGGCTTTCTGCAGTAGAATGCTCACGACTTGGGACCCATAGTTGAAACAGCCACGAGCTATTATCTCAAGAATAGGAAGCAATGTAGCTTCTTCAGTTTTTTAATACTAGAAATAGAATTGCAGGAACTACGTGATTGAAGGATTAGCACTCTCGGCTAAGACTGTTTTGGCGAGGAAAAACCTACTTAGTTGTTATTATGCGGTGCACTTCGGGACAACGTCGCTGACAGTGAGACTATGCAATAATTGCACCACATTTCTCATTTATTTCTTAAAATCCAGTTTCAGGTTCTTTCTAAGTTTAGACATGCAAAGTCCGTTTTCGGATATAACTCCTACACCGCTTAACTTTGTGCTTTAAACTGGACTAGTGAGTCGCTTGGCTTTATTCAGACCTCTTCACTAAGGGCCTTGAGAGCATGTTAGCACTACGCACGAGTTAGTCTCTTAGATATCATGCCTGACATTATGTAACCGAGACGCAACTCATTTTAATCACGTGATTACCCTTCCAATTATCCCTTACCCGGCTTGAATTCCACCGTCTTATTAACAGCTAGTTTCGCATGCGATTAACCCACAAGTAAACAATACAATGTATGTTCCTTTTACTTTTATTGACTTTTGTAAGTTTTGCTTTATTGATCATATTGCTTCTCTAAAATACAAGAGAATATATCAGGTTAGCACCAAAATAACTGTGGCTAG